CAAGAGATTGAGAGTTATGAAAAGAATTTATGAATAATCAGATTGTATGCTTATGGGAGAGAGGGAAGAAATTAGATTGGATGATCTCTGAAATATTTCCAGGTGTGTAGTTTAGCCTGCTGGTTTCTAGGATAATCTTTTGAATGTAATTAAGATGCCAGTTTTTGGAATTGCTCACTCTGGATCTTCAAATTTGGGTTATATGATACCCAGAGGGATACACCTGGCAGGCAGTAGAGTAATTAATCATAATGGAGCTAGCATCGACTGAGTGTTTACCAAGTGTCAGGCACCTTCTTAAGGGCTTTATATACATTGCCTTATTTCATTTCACAATTTTAGGGAGTAGATAGTTATTATTCCATTTTACAGATGAGAAAAGTAAGGTTCAGATATATGAGGTAATTTCTCCCAGTGTCACTCAGCTTGTGAGTGATAGGTCTGGATGAGAACTTAGGTCTGGGCCAGGTGCAGTGGCTCATGCCTGTAAGCCTAACTCAAGAGGCTGAGGCAGAAGAATCACTTGAACTCGGGAGGCATAGGTTGCAGTAAGCCGAGATTGTGCCATTGCATTCCAGCTTGGGCGACAGAGCGAGACTTCGTCGCAAAAACAAAAACAAAAAAAAAAAAAAACAACTTAGATCTGATTCCAAAGATAATGAAGTATTATCTTCATTTTGCGCATGAGTGAATGAGAGATGTTAAGTAACTTGGTCTAAAGTTATATAAGTAGTAACTAACAGTGGTGTCAGGATTTTAATTTTCTTTTTGGAGACAGAGTCTTGCTCTGTCACCTAGGCTGGAGTGCAGTGGAGCAATCTTGGCTCACTGCAATCTCCGCCTCCCAGGTTCAGGCGATTCTTGTGCCTCAGCCTCCCAAGAAGCTAATTTTTGTATTTTTGTTTTTATTTATTTATTTATTTATTTATTTATTATTTTTTGAGAGGGAGTCTTGCTCTGTCGCCCAGGCTGGAGTGCAGTGTCATGATTTCAGCTCACTGAAACTTCTGTCTCCGGGTTTAAGTAATTCTCCTGCTTCAGCCTCCCAAGTGGCTGGGACTACAGGCGTGCGCCACCATGCCCCACTAATTTTTTGTATTTTTAGTAGAGACAGGCTGATCTCGATCTTCTGACCCTGTGACTCACCTGCCTCTGCCTCCCAAAGTGCTGGGATTACAGGTTTGAGCTACTGTGTCCAGCCAGATGTCAGAATTTGAACTCAGGCCTGCCTCTTTCTAAAACCCATGGTTTTGGCTGGGCACGGTGGCTCACATCTATAATCCCAGTACTTTGGGAGGCCAAGGCAGGTGGATCACGAGGTCAAGAGATCGAGACCATCCTGGTCAGCATGGTGAAACCCCATCTCTATTAAAAATACAAAAATTAGCTGGGCATGGTGGCAGATGCCTGTAGTCCCAGCTACTCGGGAGGCTAAGGCAGGAGAATTGCTTGGACCCAGGAGGCGGAGGTTGTGGTGAGTCGAGATCTCACCATTGCACTCCAGCCTGGGTAACAAGAGCAAAACTCCAACTCAAAAAAATAAAATAAAATAAAACCCATGGTTTTTAACTGTTTTTAATTTTTTATTAATTTGATTATATTTGACTTTTTAAACTTTTTATTTTATTACTTTTGTTTGTTTTTGAGACAGAGTGTCGTTCTTTTGCCCAGGATGGAATGCAGTGGTGCGATCTCGGCTCACTGCAACCTCTGTCTCCCGAGTTCAAGCAATTCTCTGGCCTCAGCCTCTTGAGTAGCTGGGACTACAGGTGCCTACCACCTTGCTAGGCTAATTTTTGTTTTTTTAGTAAAGACAGGGTTTCATCATGTTGGCCAGGCCGGTCTCACACTTTTGACCTCAGGTGATGTACCTGCCTTGGCCTACCAAAGTCCTGGGATTACAAGCTTGAGCCACCACGCTCAGCCTACTACTTATTTAATTATGTGTTTTTTTAGAAAAAGGGTCTCTCTCTGTTGCCCAGGCTGGAGTGTAGTGGCAGATAACGGTTCATTGCAGCCTTGAACTCCTGGGCTCAAGTAATCCCTCTGTCTCAGCCTCCCTAGTACCTGGGACTATAGGCACACACAACCACACTTAACTAATTTTTTTAATTTTAATTTTTTTAGAGACAGAGTCTTTCTCTGTTACTGGTATGGTGTTGGAACTCCTGGCCTCAAGCTATCCTCTTGCCTCAGCCTCCTGAGTAGCTGGGATTATAGACATGAGCCATGTGTTCAGCATTAACTATTAAAAAAAAAATTGGGGCCGGGCGCGTTGGCTCAAGCCTGTAATCCCAGCACTTTGGGAGGCCGAGGCAGGTGGATCACGGGGTCAAGAGATCAAGACCATCCTGGTCAACATGGTGAAACCCCGTCTCTACTAAAAATACAAAAAATTAGCTGGGCATGGTGGCACGTGCCTGTAATCCCAGCTACTCAGGAGGCTGAGGCAGGAGAATTGCCTGAACCCAGGAGGCGGAGGGTGCAGTGAGCCGAGATCGTGTCATTGCACTCCAGCCTGGGTAACAAGAGCGAAACTCCGTCTCAAAAAAAAAAAAAAAATTTTTTTTTTAAATAGAGATGAGGTCTTACTGTGTTGTCCAGCTGGTCTTGAGCCTCTGAGCTCAAACAGTCCAACCACCTTGGCCTCCCAAAGTGCTGGATTACAGGTGTGAGCCACTGCACCTGGCCTTTTTTTTTTTTTATAGGGATGAGGTCTCAACTATTTTAAGTTTTTTGGTTTTTTTTTTGAGACAGAGTCTTGTTCTGTCTCCAGGCTGGAGTACAGTGGTGGGATCTCAGCTCACTACAATTTCTGCTTCCCAGGTTCAAGTGATTCCCCTGCTTCAGCCTCCCAAGAAGCTGCGATTAACAGGCGTGTGCCACCACGCCTAACTAATTTTTTTTAATTTTTAGTAGAGACAGGGTTTCACCATGTTGGCCAGGATCGTCTCGATCTCTTGACCTTGTGATTTGCCAACTCAGGCTCCCAAGGTGCTGGGATTATAGGCATGAGCCACTGTGCCCAGCAACTATTTTAAGTTCTAAGGGATCATTGAGCATTAAGGAATGAAAGGGAGAATATAACACATTAGGAATATTAGAATTGGGCTGGGTGCAGTGGCTCACTCCTGTAACCCACTACTTTGGGAAGTCAAAGTGGAGGATTGCTTGAGACCACGAGTTCAAGACCAGCCTGGGTAACAGCAATGTCATTTCTGGGTATTCACCCAAAAGATTTGAAATCAGTACATTGAAGAGATGTCTGCATTCCCATGTTTATTGCAGCACTATTCACAGTAGCCAAGTTATGGAATCAACCTGTGTTCATCAACAGATTAATTAATAAAGAAATATGCTGTATATACACAATGGAGTGCTATTCAACTTTATTTATTTTTTTGAGACAGGGTCTCACTCTGTCACCCATGCTGGAGTGCAGTGACGTGATCATGGCTCACTGCAGCCCTCAAACTCCTTGGCTCAAGTGATCCTCCATCCTCAGCCTCCCAAGTAGCTGGGACTACAGGCATGCACTACCATGCCTGGCTAATTTTTTTTTGTTTTTTGTAGAGATGGGGTCTCACTGTGTTGCCTGGACTGGTCTTGAACTCCTGGGCTCAGGTGATCCTCCCACCTTAGCTTCCCAAAGTGCTGGGATTATAGGTTGGGAGCCACCTCACTCAGCCTCAGCTTTAAAAAAGAAGGAAAATCTGAGATGGGCGTGGTGGCACACACCTTAATCCCAGGTACTCGGGAGGCTGAGGCAGGAGAATTACTTGAACCCGGGAGGTAGAGGTTGTAGTGAGCTGAGATCGCGCCACTGCACTCCAACTTGGGTGACAGGGCAAGATTCTGTCTAAAAAAAAAAGAAGGAAATTCTGTCATTTCTGTCATTTGTGACAACATGGATGGAATTGGAGAACATAATATTAAATGAAAGTGAAATAAGCCAAGCACAGGAAGACAAATACTGTAAGTTTTCACTTATACATAGAATGTGAAACAATCAACTCATGGTAGCAGGAAATAGAATGTTGGTTACAGAATCGGGGGGTCACTGGCCGGGTGTGGTGGCTCACACTGGTAAACCCAGCACTTTGGGAGGCCAAGGCTGGCAGGTCACGAGGCCAGGAGTTCAAGATCAGCCTGGCCAACATAGTGAAATCCCATCTCTACTAAAAATAAAAAAAAATTAGCCTGACATGGTGGCATGTGCCTGTTGTCCCAGCTACCCAGGAGGCTGAGGCAGGAGAATAGCTTGAACCCAGGAGGTGGAGGTTTCAGTGAGCCGAGATTGTGCCACTGCACTCCAGCCTGGAGCCTGGCGACATAGCAAGACTCTGTCTCAAAGAAAAAAAAAAAAAAGGACAAAAATTAGCCAGGCATGGTGGCACACACCTATAGTCCTAGCTACTGGGGAGGCTGAGGCAGGAGAATTGCTTGAACCTGGGAGACAGAGGTTTCAGTGAGCCAAGATAGCACCACCGCACTCCAGCCTGGGTGACAGAGCAAGACTTTGTCTCAAAAAAAAAAAAAAGATGCCACTGAGGGATGCCTTTATTTATTTATTTACTGCATTTGGCTGCTGTGTTTTCAATCTCAGTTGCAATTCCCACACTGAGGCTGTCCCACCCTTCCTGTGTCCCTTGAGCTGAGCAGATACTTCCTGTCCTGTTGGAAATGAAAGTTAGAGATTGGGGGTAGGGTATATGTATTTACTCTGCAGAATGCTAATACTATCTGTTCCATTATCATAGCAAAATGTGACAGGGAAACTAGAATAGACACCTGAACTTCATTTGAGGGAGGGTTTGGGCTTCATGTTTGTTGTGACAAAACAGACAGGGTTAATTTATACCTCAAGAGAATACTGAGGATGGCAGCAAAATGGCCTTATAAAGGGATCTGAAGGCTTTCATTTTACATCCCTATTCCACTTGGATTGGTAGGAGTTACTGGATATCACTCTTAAGTTTTTGGTTTCTTTTCTTGTTAAGGTTACTCCTACGAGGACATTCCTTGGAAACTATTAGAGGTAAGTGTTGCAACTCTGTTAGGTTCTTGACTCTTACATTTATATTCCTTCCTAAGAATTTTGTGTTTTTTTTTCTGTTTGAACTGTATGTTTTTAAAAAAGTGTTTTGCTTTGTTTTGTTTTTAACAGCTCCGAGACAACTTGAAGCAGACATCCCAACTCTGTGGACTTTAGTTTAAACATAAATTCCAGGTTTGGTGAGTTATCGTAATTGTTTCAGTTTCGTGGATCTTAAAGATGAAGAAATAGTAAAGTGCTAAATAAGGTAGCCTCCAATCGTTAAAGAAATGACGAGGCACCACGTTTCATGATATAGTTCAGTTTGATAATTGCTTCTTAAGTATGAACTCATTCCTTGGAGAATCTCAAATAGGAGTGAGGGGAATCAGCCCAGCCCATTGGTGTGACACAAGAGAAACAGATCTAAGGATCTGAAACTAGTTATACCCCATACTTTGTTTTGCTTATCTCTGCTCTTTGGTGTGTTCCTCTGTTTGTGCCATTGAACATTAAGATCACTGCAAATGGACCAGGCACGAAGGCTCATGCCTGTAATCCCAGCACTTTGGAAAGCCAAGGTGGGCGGATCACTTGAGATCAAGAGTTCAAGACCAGCCTTGCCAACATAGGGAAACCCTGTCTCTACTAAAAAACACAAAAATCAGCCTGGTGTGGTGGCAGGCACCTGTAAGCCCATCTACTTGGGAGGCTGAGGCAGGAAAATTGTGGAAGGCAGAGGTTGTGGTGAGCTGGATCCGGGATTATGCTACTGCACTCCAGCCTGGGTGACAGAGTGAGACTCTGTCTCAAAAAAAAAAAGATCACCATAACTGTAAAGTGGGAGAAGTCCTGAGCTCATCTCACACACTCAGTCTCTAACTCTGCTTTTTGTTTTTTGTTTTTTTGCATGTTCTCCAAGGCAATGTCTTAGAAACTCCTTTAAAATCAAGCTTAAAATCTTAATTTTTTTTTTCCTTTTTGAGACGGAGTGTCTGGAGTGCAGTGGCGCGATCTCGGCTCGTTGTAACCTCCGCCTCCCAGCTTCAAGTGATTCTTCTGCCTTAGTCTCCCGAGTAGCTAGGACTACAGGCACATGACACTATACCCAGCTAATTTTTGTATTATTAGTACAGATGAGTTTTCACCATGTTGGCCAGGATGGTCCTGATCTCTAGACCTCGTGATCTGCCCGCCTTGGCCTCCCAAAGTGCTGGGATTACAAGCGTGAGCCATCGTATCCAGCCTAAAATTAAGCTTGAAATCTTACAGCTGAGATCGAAGGATGGGAAAAACAAACAAACAACAACAACAACAACAACAAACCTCTTTGTCTTTAAATGAGAGTCAGAAGTTGTTCTAGAGGAAAGGGGATAAATTTGAAAGGGGTTAGACCTAAGAACTCTTGTTTCTAGCTTTAACTCCTGAGACTATGAGAAACAAACAAACATCTTGGGCATTAGGACCCAGTGGAAGTGCCTCTGCCTCATTCAGACTCTGTTAACTTCTCTGGTGACGTAAAGGAGCAGCCCGAGCTCATTCTCTGCCCACAGCCCCCCTTCATCTCTCTCCCTCCGGCGTCTTTTCTCCCCCTTTCTGCTCCCCCTCCCTTCTCCCTCTCCCTCCCTTTTCTCCTTCCTCCCTCTCCCCCTGTCCCTCGCTCTCCTCCTCCCTCCCCTTTTTCTTACTCCCTCCTTTTCTCTCTCTCTCTCTCTGTCTTACTCACTCAGCTCCCTAACATTAAAGAGAAAATGCTGCTATCCGTGACTTCCAGGCCTGGGATTTCGACTTTGGGTTACAGTAGAAACAACAAGAAGGTAGGGAAAAGCGCTTTTTTGGTATCTAGCTACTTCCTTTTCTGGGGATCTGGCAATGCCCTTGGTTTTAACATTCTTTTTAAAGAGGGGAAGGAGATTCCTCTCTCAAGGTTTCTAATTCCTCACGGCACTTCTCCCTTTTCCACTACTTCTTTCTGCATCTTTTCTCACCTGGTTCTGGAGTTCAAGGAACTTATGGTCTCTGTGAGGCCTGAAAAGACAGGGAATTAAAACAAATCAAACTTGCAAGTTTGTATCCTTATGAAATGAAGTTAGTTTGACTTCCTGCTGACCTATCAATCTCCTCAAGGATAATGTCATCTCAGATCCTGTCCCCCAGTCCACCCACCACAAGATTATTTTATTTTTTGATTAACTGTTTACATTCTATTCCCAACCTTCCCTCCTACCCATATCACCGGTAGTATTAGATAGCTGAAATCCTAGAAAGTCAGTGAAGCCACAACAGTTTATCAAGAGCTGGATATACTCTCCTAGACTACAGATCCTACCCACGCAGCCTGTAGAGAAAGAGTCTTGAGAGACAATGCAGTTTGGGATTAAGGCACAGTGTGCTGTGATACTTGGGTCTTGCTTTTGATCTGATACTTGGAGCTCTGTAGATAGCCAGACTTTGCCGTGATCCAGGAGTCTTTATGATTAACCCATGGCTGGCAGAGAGTTGTGCTGTCCTTGGGCACTTGGGCAGTCTGGGGAGAGATGGACAACCTTGTACATTCTTGACAAGGAATATCTTTGGCTGTTTCTGGCATTTCAGGGCACACAGTATATTGATTAGGAGGAATTTCAACAACAAGACTCTCTTCATGTTGTAGTTCTTTGAAGAAAAAATGTGACATAGACATTTAGGGAATCTTTTGCTCATCTAATGGAATGTTGGAGGGCGAGGAACAACTCCTGCTGCTTTCTCATGTACCTAAAGAGTGTCTGATCAATACAGTGGGTAAATGTTTAGATCCAAAACGGTGTTGGTTTATGGGCTTAGTCTATGTGGTACTCATTCTGTTTATATCCTGAAGAAATATGGGTAGAGGGGAGAGGAAATGGGGAGCTATGGGTTAGAGGACACAAAGCAGTAGTTATGTAGGATGAACAAATCCTGAGATCCAATGTACAGCATAAGGATTATAGATAATAAAACTGTACTGTATATGGGATTCATGCTAAATGAGCAGATTTTAGCTCCTCTTGCCACAAAAAGAAACAAAAGGGATAACTATGTGGGATGATTAATTTACTTCACTCTAGTAACCCTACTATCAATATGTATCCCATACTTGTATACCTTAAATGTACACAATATCGGCCTGGCGCGGTGGCTCACGCCTGTAATCCAAGCACTTTGGAGACCAAGGCGGGTGGATCACCTGATGTCGGGAGTTCAAGACCAGCCTGACCAACATGGTGAAACCGCGTCTTTAAAAAAAAATGTACACAATATCACGAGGTTGAGAAAAAAAAAAGTACACAATAAAATTTACTTTAAAAAAGAAATGAGGTGGCTCTGTTGGCTCAATCAGTTAGCATGTGGTACTTATAAAAAATAAATGAGGCTGGCCACGGTGGCTTATGCCTATAATCCCAGCACTTAGGAGGCCAAGGTGGGTGGATCGCTTGAGGTCAGGAGTTTGAGACCAGCTTGGTCAACATAGTGAACCCCCAAATTAGCCAGGCTTGGTGGCACGCGCCTGTAATTCTAGCTACTTGCCAGCCTGGAGCAGGAGAATCACTTGAACCTGGTGGGGCAGTGAAGGTTGCAGTGAGCCAGGATCTCGCCATTGCACTCCAGTCTGGGTGACAGAGCAAGACACCATCTAAAAAAAAAAAAAAGAAATATGAGTTCATACATATTTGTTGGTTATATGTTTATATGTACATATACTGATATCCCATCAAATATACATATAGATAATACATTATATATTATATATATTTGAAAGGGAAATATTTCATGTGTCTTTATTCTCTTCAAACTTTGTAGAATACTATGTGAAAATTTCCTTCCTGATTTTTTTCCCTCCTAATCTCTCCAGTTACCCAGAACTCATGAAAATAAAATGAATTCCCACAATGAATTGCTTCCCTATTAGAGGTTTCATGTATTTGAAGCTATCTAAAAATCTCTTTTCGCTCTCTACTTTCTCTCCCACCTTGGAGTAGAGGAAAAATTTAACTAGCTTCTAAATCTAGGATAGTATAGGGGACAAGAGGTATGGTTGTGAATTTGGGTTGAAATCTGTTATCTCTTCCTGATAACTGTAAGGTTTGGCAATTCAGGAATTGTTGGGATTGGTGAGGGAGGTTGGGTAGATACATAATTATTAGTTCCTAAAGTATTTGTCAATTCTTGGAGTTCTTGTAAGTCAATCTTATGATCACATCCAAGGATGCTGCATATGTGCATCACTTTATGGCTATGCATATGATTCCTTTTGTGTCTATATAAGTTTGTGAATGTAGAGACTTTTCATATTTTTATTATTTTTCTTTTTCTTTTTTTTTTTTTTTTGAGACGGAGTTTCACTCTTGTTACCCACACTGGAGTGCAATGGCGCAATCTCAGCTCATTGCAACCTCTGCCTCCTGGGTTCAGGCAATTCTTCTGCCTCAGCCTCCTGAATAGCTGGGATTACAGGCACGCGCCACCATGCCCAGCTAATTTTTTTTTTGTATTTTTAGTAGAGACGGGGTTTCACCATGTTGACCAGGATGGTCTCGATCTCTTGACCTCGTGATCCACCCGCCTCGGCCTCCCAAAGTGCTGGGATTACAGGCGTGAGCCACCGCGCCCAGCCCTACTTTTCTTTTTTTGAGATGAAGTCTCACTCTGTCACTGAGGCTGGAGTGCAGCAGCGTGATCTCAGCTCACCTCAGCCTCCGCCTCCTGGGTTCAAGCGATTCTCCTGCCTCAGCCTACCGAGTAGCTGGACTACAGGAGTGTGCCACCACACCCAGTCAATCTTTTGTATTTTTAGTAGGGACGGGATTTTACCATGTTGGCCAGGCTGGTCTCAAACTTCTGACCTCAAGTGATCCACCTGCCTTGGACTCCCAAAGTTTTGGGATTATACTTTGAGTTGCCAAGCCCTGCCCATGTTTTCATTTATTTATTTATTTAAGATGGAGGCTTACTCTGTCATGCCCAGGCTGGAGTTCAGTGGCTCAATCTTGGCTCACTGCAACCTCCACCTCCTGGGTTCCAGTGATTCTCCTGCCTCAGCTTCCTGAGTAGCTGGGATTACAGGTGCCCTCCACCACGCCCAACTCATTTTTTGTATTTTTAGTAGAGACTGGGTTTCACCACATTGGTCAGGCTGGTCTTGAACTCCTGACCTCAGGTGATCCGATCACCTTGGCTTCCC